TTTTGATAATCATCATTTGGCTTCATTGGCTCCACCTCCTCTCGTTAAGTCCCTTCTAGGACCTCCCCCTTCTAATGGTTCTCCAATTTTGAAAAATCAGGGTAGAATTTCTGAAACTCCAAGGTCTTCTTCTCACTTGTTGTGCGTCAACTGTAAAAACTTTGGTCATATTTCTTCTAAATGTCCTAATCGAACCTTAGCCATGGAAGAACGAAAGAATGTAATAGAGGAGCCGTTAGAAGATCTAGTCTATGAACCAAAACTTGAAGATTTTGATGACTTGGATGATAGTGAGGACATTTCCTTAGGTGGAATCCAGACTCTTCTCGAGACTTTGGATACTATACCCCTTATCTCCGACAATTCTCGATCACATGTTATATGTTATACCCCTACCTAAGTTAAAGAGTTTGATGATGTCACCAGTCACCCTCGAAAAATCCAGTCGCCTGTGGTTAACACTAAGGCAAAATTATCCACCATCGACCAACCTCAAATTGATAGTCAAAACAAAAGTGCTAACCAAAATCCTGACAATTTATTACAGTCTCTAGTCCAGAAAAGTCTTGGGAATTGGGACTTGATCCCTCCAACTGTTCAAATTGCATATAACGATCCTGCGAACTGGTCTTTAGGTCTAAGACCCTTTGCAATTATTCTTGGTTGTGAATCTTTGAAACCTCTAGACCTTATTTCCGTGCACCCACATGCTTGTGTGTCTATGTCAGTTGAGGTAGTTGTATTACATTTTCATAGCTTGCATATTGAGATCAATAAACAATTTGAAGCAAGTAAAGCATTATATAAACCTCAAGTTGATTGGCATAAACAATACTTTGAATTTAATATTGGGGATTATGTTATATTGCAAGCGTGTAATGCTGGTCTTTTAAAAATTTCAAAGCATGTTGGTAAAAATGTCTATGTCAATGATCTTATATCACATTATGACCATCACCCTATTTTATTTGTTAAGGATTTCGATATTTACAATGGCTATTTTAACACTTTTGTTGATCCTTTTCTATCTCTACCCGAGAACTCCCACACCGAATCTTTTGCCATCTCTATTCGAATACCACATGTCGCAGCACACAAAGATAAAATTGATGTAATTTTAGATGAACAGGTTGTGTTAACCATTGATGGAGAGAATCGGTGCTTCTTTAATTGTTGGGTAGATCAACGTTCTTATTGTGCTCCACATTATGCGCAATCATGTGAAGATTTTGGAGATGAGTTGCAGGAGTACTTGTTATTTGGAGTCCAATGTCGGTACTTGATTAAAATGAGG